CTGACCCTCCAGCAGCTTGTTTGCAGTGGGGAACCACAGTGGATCTAATACTGTGTAGCTTTCCTAACCCCACCCCATCCCTAGTGTGAATGCTTTTTTCTAGAGGTGAACTGATAAAGATTTTCTTGTCCAATACCAATAGCCAATTATTAAACCAGCCATATCGGCTGATACCGATCCAATAACCAATTTACAGGAAGGCAGCCAGGCAGCGTGAAGAACAGCTCCCTCCAGGTAAGTCTGTGGAGGGGAAGGGGCTAGAGCAGATCAAGGCCCCCATGGTGAAGGATGGAGTGAGGCAGGGGCTGGGGGCACTGCTGTCAGGGCAGTGAATGGGACCCAGAACCAGGGTGGGGAGCAGGACAGGGCCATGGACAGCTCATCCAGTGCATCAACGTCCCAGCGCTTAAAAATGGTGGTGGAGGCACTTGAACTAAAGCCTGGTGAATGAGCTTTAGTTCAAGCACCACCATTGCCATTTTTAAGCATGGGGTTTGCTTTTACCTGGTGCTCAGCTGGGTGAGGCAAGGACAGATGTAGGCTGCTCACTGTGGGCTCGGGGCTCTCCACCCCGCTGCCTTTGCTTTGGAGGCCCCACGCTGGCTGTGTACCTTCTGCCCTCCCAGCAGCAGGAGACAACTCGCTGCCCCCACTGCTGCTGGGCACGCAGGGGTATACAGCCGGCACGGGGCCTCTGGGGCATAGGCAGCAGAGAGCCCCGAGCCCACAGCAAGCAGCCCATATCTGCCCCATGCACAAATCTGGGTGGACATATGCTCCCCCATGGGGTGCACAGTGGTGGGGAGCCACCCCCCCCACGCCCCCGGACAAGCCGCCCACAACTCCATCCCACTACCCACCCTTGCCCTGGGTCCCACTCACCACCTTGGCTGGGCAACAACCCCAGTCCCATTCCCTCCCTCACTGTGGGTGCCTCATTCTGCACCCCCATGCACCTTCTCTCCCCCACACCCCTTGCCCTCCACAGACTTACCTGCAGGGTGCTGCTCTCCACACTGCCCAGCTGCATTCCTGGCCACATGCATGGTGCAGTTGTTGTGCATGCATGTGGTGTCCAGGGGCCCCAGTCAGAAGGCATATTATATTTATCAGCGAACATTATTGGCTACACCGGCCAAAGAAAGCTGATAATGTTAATTTTCCTTTTATCGGTGCCAATCCAATATGCAACCAATATATTGGTGCACCTCTACTTTTTTTCCATCTAGACTCCCCTTCTCCAAGGGAACACGGTTTCACCCCAAGTTGGGAATGCCTGCCTCAAATGGTTATTACATCTTTGATGCTCCTTGAACGCAACTGAGAGAAGCAAAGTTTTTTGCATGGGTTTCATCTGCTTTCTTCTGGAGAACCATGCATTGTACCACAAGCGTGCACAGATCTGTTCTCAGTGGCATATTGAAGAAAGTGATTGAAGTGACAAGTAGGGCTAGTACAAGTATCTGAAATATTCTTCAAGCAGTTCATTCAGTCTTCCTCAGTCTTCTCCATTTCCTCTTATTCAAAACACATGGTTTAGAAAGACCAGGAAAAAAAGCATGTGCAATAAAACACTATTCTCCTCTATCGCTCAGCTGGAATACGGTATTCAGAGCAAACTGATGCAGACCACGAGCTTTCTAAGTGCAAGTCTTCTTGTCAAGAAGTCAACAAATTACATTATCCACCCTTGTTAGTCACCATCAGGGTTGAAAGGCTGAGGTACTTTCTTTACCCCTTGATGTGCTCCTGTGCACCTCAGAAAAGCAGTGCATAAAACTCTCCAAACCAAATGCCATATGCTTTTATTTCAGAGGCAAGGATTTCTTAGGGTAGTATTTTTTATTGGACCACCTATGTAGTTGTGATAGACAAACTGACATGTTCCCTCAGGAAATTCTATGAAGAACAAGGCATTCTTCATAGGATAGTTTTAAGTCATGCAGTTTCCAAGGGAAATTAAGTCTTGACACTGAACATTTTTTGAAAAACTAATCAATGCTGGTAGGGTTGATACTCTAACAACTGGTAGAGTTGATACACTACCAGTCCAGTTCAGCTGTCTGAGAATTAATCTTCCATCAATCATCTAATCTTTGTATCTCATATTTATAACTCAAACCCTGGCCTAGAGCATCATCCAGATGGAGCGTTACCAGCCATTAATCATATTAGAACTTGAACATGTTTATGTACCTTATAAGACCACATCCTCAGCTTATGATCCTGGCAGAGAGCGAAGAGAAAGGCATCATGTTCAAGGCAGTGAACAGACAGGCTGATGGGAAGGTCCGAAGGGCCACAGCCACCTCTAAAAAAAACCAACAAAAAACACAGTGATTAAAATAATTTAGTAAGCCATCTCTGAAATAGCTATACTAGTTTCAATTCACCCCTTTGGTTACACAACAAAAACTTCCCTGCATGGACAAGGCTTTAGAGCAGTGATTGATAACCTTTTAAAACTGACTGGCCAAATGAGCACAGACTGCTCTGAAGGTCAGTTGCCACTCCTCTTACCAATACCATGCTTCCAACTTGGCTGCTACTTCCAGCTCAGTCACTTCTATTGACTTAGCACTACACTCTTGACCCAGCCATGGAATCATCATCACTGCCCCCCACCAAAGAAATGCTGTCACCAACTCAGCTTCATGGGCAGGATGGCATTACTTAGCAGGTTGGATCCAGCCTCAGAGCCATATATTGTCAACCCTGCCTCAGTGCAATTTCCAAGCAAACAAACCAACATTAACAGTCCTGGCTGACTACACGCCAACAGATAGGTCAAACATTCCTATTAGTACCAGAGGTATAGCGATACGTCAGTTCAATATCAGATCGGCACTAATATAAAGAAAAATTGGCTGCATTGGAAATTGGCCCAACACAGCCAATAATCTGGCCAATAATTTTTGCCCTGGGTCCCATTCACCACCCTGGCTGGGCAGCAACCCCAGTCCCATTCCCTCCCTCACTGTGGGTGCCTCATTCTGCACCCCCATGCCCCTTCCCCTCCCCCATACCCCTTGCCCTCCACAGACTTACCTGCAGGGTGCTGCACAGCACGCAGGCAGCAAGGAGCACAGCCCAGCAGCTTGAAGAGCTGCATGCAGCTGGTAAGTCCGTTGTGGTGGAAGGGGAGGGGGGAGGGAAGGGAAGGGAACCACGGCTTATCTGGCGGGCGCGTACCCCCCGGATCCACGTGGGGCAGGCAGGCTGCAGCTGCCAGCTGGAGCCAAGGCTGCACCAGGCTCCTCTCAGCAGGGGCTGGGCTCAGGACAGGCAGCCACGGTGCTGAGAGGGGCCTATGGGGGGCTGAAGCCACCCCAAATTTCACCACAACTCCCCCAACCACCCCTCCGAGTGCTGCCACCACCCACCCAGTGTAGCCCCGGCTTAACCCCCTCCACCCACATGCTGGAAAGAGCTGGGGCTGCAACAGGTAGGCAGCAGCGGCACTGAGAGGGAGGGCTATGACAAACCACCCTGAGCCCAGCCCCCACCGAGAAGAGCTGACAGCTGCAGCCCACCCGCCCCACCCTGCGCAGATCCAGGGGACACCTCCCCCCCTCCCAGGGTGTGCGCAGTGGTGGGAGCTGCCTCCCCACCCAACAAGCCATGGCTCCATCCCGTGCCCTACCCCACCTGGCTGGGCAGCATCTGCCCCCATCCCACTCCCTCCCTCACAGTGGGAGGGGCATTGATCTGCCCTCCCATGCCCCTTCCCTCCCCTCTCTCCTTCCACAAGACTTCCGATTTCTGATACAGCTGCATCCATCTGGGATCAGTATCGGTCGATATGCCTCTTTAAAAATCAGCTATCAGCATCAGCCCCCAAAATCTCTATTGGTGCACCCCTAGTTAGTACATTTAGCAAAGGCATCTTTAGGGTGTTAGGTCTGTGTTGTGTTAGGGCAGAGGAGAGGTACTCAACCACTGACACAAGAGCCAAATGCAGCCCACAGGACTCCCTATCAGTCAAGAAATTACAGCAGAGAAGCAGTGGCAGTCATCCTAGATTGGACTAGATGACTTCTGGAAGTCTCTTCCAGCCCTACTTCTCTGTAACTATGATCTGCAAGATCTAGTTATCACATGGCACTTCAGGCTCAACTGTAAGGCTGGACAGAAGCAGGTAGATCTGCCTTAGGGTGGCTACATACAGCCTTTCAGAGAGAACCCACAGAAGGATTCCCACAGATTTCACAAGAGCTCAGTGGCAAAGGGAGATAGTACCAACAAGCTAACACTGTTTGATTCTTCAGACATTTCCTTTTCACTGAGTAAAGACAAATATGTAGCACCAAATAACAACTGGAACATAGATGAAAATCCAACTAGTTCAGGGGCCAACTACCTTTAACAAGCCACAGGCCAGAACAACCTGCACGGGGGAGAGGTAGCTGAACCTGCGCCACTGCCATTTCTCCCAGTCTCCCGCTGCTCTGTTGTGGCACAGGTGCAGCTTCCAGCTGGTGGGGAGCAGCCACCAGTTCTCCCCACCTGCCGTCACCTCCCAGATGTAGTGCAGCTAAACCACTTACATATTAATCAAAACCACAAACATATAGATCCAGAGGTAGCGCTGTAAAATTAACTATATATATTCACTCCTAGGTGCAGTCCTGTACTGTGATCTGTGTAACCAAAAACAAGCACTATATAAATGCATTATCACCTTCCCTGCGCTTGTCTACCTCTGAAGCCATCTTAAGACTCCCTGCAAAAAGTGGAAGCCCCACTTATTTGGCACCAGACGACACTAACCTGATAGCAGTTGGCATCCAGCCTGTCAGCAAACGCTGCATCACTGAGCTCTGCTTCAGCTCCACAACAGAAACCATTCCTAGAAAAACAGAAGTGTTAAGCTCTGTGTATAGGGGATGTGTGCTGTTGATGCAATAGTTTACTGTCGCTAATACAAGATGCAACTTGCCTCATTTAACATTCATTTTTGTTACAGTTACTAAAAAGAGAGTCAATGGCAGCTGAAATCGAAAACCAAAATAGGAAGTGTCATGGAAGATGAAGAGATCAGCCTGGCCCTTTTCAGAGGGGAAGGGGAAAAGCTCAGGCTGGCCCTTTTCAGAGGAAAAGGGGAAAAGATCTTCCTCGGGACTCTCTCCTATCAGGCCTAGACTGCTATCTGCTCCCAAGGTGAGAAGGGGCATCCAAATGTCCCACTTGGAACTATTTACAAGTATTATTTACATTACAGCCTGCCCACACTGAGCCCCCTCAAAGTGCTGCCCCACTGGAACTTAGCCACTTTGCTTCTTATATCATAGACAGGCACTGTCATGACTGGGATATGCTGGCTACATTGTGTTATAAAGAGCAACTGATAATGGCCCTTACATTTGGCTACAGGCTGCTTTCCATGGATTAGAGACTTTCCTTCCATGACACATTCTACACAAGCACAAAGTGGCAGGACAGGACACGCTCTGCTCTAAGTTCTTACCATGCACATCATGAGGTGGCAATCTAAGGATAAAAATTCCTCCTGAAGCAGAGGGCAGAGCAAAGAGAGCCTCCCCATCACTGCTAAGCCAAGCAGCTGAGGCCGTGGAATTAGATGCCAGTCCAGGGATGTTGGGGATCATGTGGTAGCTTGACGGGTCCCTAAAGTTAACCTTCCCAATATCCGTAAATACAGACTGCATCTGGCTCTCTGTGATCAGCTCCTGTTAAATAAAATAAAAACAAAGACTCCAGACTGCAAAAGCACAAAGAACGGTTAGAAAAATGTAAAACTGGATTTGTCCGTGGAATGACAAATAGCTTAAAAAAATTACTAGCTCCTGCTTTGTGAAATTAGTTCTTTCCAATGAAAATCAGCTAAATTCAAACCTGTCTCTCTACTTTAACCAGCAAAGCTGGGCTATTTAAGGGTGAGTTTCAAAGGGTAGGTAGAACTGAGAGCTGCCAAAACACAGGAACCTAGATCCTACTCTCTCTCCCTCCCTCCCTCCCTCCAGTACCTGCTAACATCCCAGTGGCAGTGTCCACACCTGCACCAGTGTTTCGCTCAACACCTGCTTCAAGACTAAACAGCTCATTCTTAGCAAGTGCCATGAGTTAAATTTCTATGAAACAGCCTGGAGCTAAGGGTGGTCTGCTGGCCTGATCCTGCAAATGTAAAGAGACGGAACAAGTGACCCAAAGGGAGCGGAGATCGCAACATCTCAGGAAGGATACTGAGAAAACACATTAACCTAATGACTTTTCCCACAGGAAATTTGCACCAAGCCACACCTTCCTGCCCATCCAAACAAGAGGGCTTCCTACTTTGTAAGCCAAGCGATACATCTAGCTGTGACCACCCCACAGGAGACAGTTTCCTGTCATGCCTGTCTAGGTCCCTTGCCCCTACTCTGGCCAGCTGAACTTGGGCAGCCCAATTCTCATCACCGGGGCTGGTGAAGGAAAAAGCTGAGAGGCAACTTACACTCCTGTACATGCGGGCAGGGTGGGGCAACACCAGCCTGTGCACGGTCTGGTTGGTGACGATCAGGAGGACGAGGTGGTTCTGCACCTCGCAGAGGTGGACCCCTCCAGGCAGCAGGAGGCAGTTCTGGATCCGGAGCCGCACGGCGTTGTTCAGCA